AACTGAACTCATTATTATTTTGGATATATCTTGGAAAAAAATTTCTGTCTAGATTTTTGATTAAATTAAAAAGTACAGGAAACCGGTTCATCTTTCTATGTGGACAACTCAATATGTTCTATAATCTAACAGTAACAAAATGTATCGGACTCATGATGGTTTACTACACACTCAGCTTCTGTAGATTTATCCAAGAAAAGTATATAAGGACAAACGAATATCGGATTCGTAATCAGCGTTAGAAATTAGCTATAATAAAACATAGTCTAAGAAAAAAATGACTGACCACTTGTCGAGAGTCTCTCGTTACTTTTTATCTCAAAATGAAATAAAATATGTGCAGGAATATTGTGCTGATTTTTTTTTTTGTGTCTATTTTTTGTTCCTTCAGGAGACGTTTTCTTGCTGTATCTACATAGTTTTAGATGTAAATAATACTTCTTTTTTTTGTACATTGTTTGCTGACAGTTTTGAACAATTTAATAAAATTCTAATTTAAAGACAGAAATTTTTTTCCAAGATATATCCAAAATAATAATGAGTTCAGTTTTGAGAAAAACAATTCGCGTTCCTTGACATTTCAAAATGACTTATCATTGATTAAAGTCGAATGTTTTGCTCTCGTATAATGAATGTTTTCGTGAGTATTTGTGCATCCCTTCTATGATACGTTAAGCAAGTTCTTGTTTTAATCGTTTTTATGTCACGTTAGTAAAGAGTACGATTGATTGCGAATTCCTTAAAGGTATATCTTTTCAGAACTTAAACTTTTGTACTGACAAAACTATGTGAAATGTGTGTTAGTTTTGAGAATAATATAATTACTCGTCGAACAAGTTGACGTATAATATTAAGTTGAGTAGTATCGCCTACTAATGATGCATAACGTTCTTGTCTATGAATAATTTGGCGTAAAACTTAATTAATCAAGTCAATAGTTTAATTATACAGAGTATTCCGAACGATAAGAAAAACTTACCAGGTGACGTATTTTGAAGACGCGATACACCAGTCTAAGTAAATAAAAAGTAGGTAGATAATAATAAGTAAAAAGATTAAAATGTAAACATTTCTGAAACTTTAATATACTTCTATGTCGTGATATTCTTCCATCTCTAACACACTGCCATGTAAAGCAATTCCTGTAAAACATGCACAACACATTGTTTCAGACGTTTCAAGATTACTTTTTCTACGTTTTTCACCTGCTAAACTTCTTTTCCAACAAGCAATTCCAAATTGTGCAAGACGCAAAACAGTAGGCTAAAGTAATTTAAAAATAAAAATATCAGTTGACAGCAAAAATAATGTTTCGATAGTGTTATGTACTTCTGTAATATTTTGCTCAGGAAGATATGGTCCTTCCGTTAAAAAATCAAATAATACTTCTAATCGTTGTTTTCGCGATCGAAATGAATCGTATATAGCGGACATAGTAGACAGTCTAAATGAAGATCCATTTAAACTTCTTTTTCTATAAAAACTCTTTTTACTTTGCACTTATTGATAAATTTTCAATTACACGACTGAATCGAGACGAATCATGTCGATTTGCTTTTAAGTTTGCCGTTAGATCATCTAATTTAAAACGTAAAAATAATGGTTCTTCGATCTCAGGTGGATCTATTAGCTTTCTAAAAGGATGCATTATCATTTCTTATTATCCAGTCCTCTGCTTTTATTTTCCATACCCAATATTTGTTGTATCTAAATGAATACTGAGTAGAAAACATCTTACGTAAGTCTGCAGTTACATGCCCTGATAAACTGGAAATACTCGCTCGTATAATGTTTGATCTTTTACAATTTTTGGTACAAGTATATCATTCTGAAACATTAGCTAAAATTGTATCATATATTTTTGACGAAACAGTTGAATATAAATTTCTCTTACACGAGAGCTGAAATTATATCCATGTCGTCCGTAGACAAAAATTAACTCCAAAAGTAAAACTGCTTTGCCCTTTAATCACATATATTTTTACATCATAATTACAATATTTTACTAGAATTTACTCACGATAATATCAATAGTTCCTTCAAACAAAACAGCATCGCTGACATGACGTGCTGAAGAAAGTTTAACGCTATCAACAATTTGATCAGCTATAAATGCATAACGTTTTTCATTATCAATATAACCATATAAAATGAAATGTATTGAATGGCGTTTATCATAACGTTTATCGTAGATCTAAAACAGAGAAGCCATTCATACAATAAAATAATTTTGTCTTCTAATCTTACCCTTATCATTAGTTGAATTTCTTGATCTAAATAAGCTATTTTATCTGATTGAACTCTAACGGTTTTTGAATATCGACTCATTCCATAGGCAACAACACATAATCGAAATGATTTGACAGGCACTTTATAATTATCTTTTTGCACCAAGAATGGCTGATAAATACGTAACTGATGAAGATGAACGGCTAAAACGCCGGTCTGAAAATCAGCAAAATCATTTGCTCAAGAGAACTGTTTAACGTTTAGAATCTATTCTTACTGCACTAATTGGAACATCCTCGTACGGTTGTAATGTGTTGGAATCATTATCGCGTAACCTGTTTCAAATATTGATGTACTGTAATGAAAAACAACGAACGTAGATAACGTACCATCCCCAGTCATCGGCTGATTTAGACATTTTTTCACTCTTATATTAGATCGTTTAATGGTTTTATGTCCATCTGAAGTTTAAATTGCGCCAAATGTCTTTAATTATCGATCTATGTACAGGCACCTAGATATGATTTTTTATTTATTTGAAAATATTGTTATAAATGATAGATGTCAGTCGAAGATTGACACTTACTGTTGTCTGTGAGAAGAAAACTTTGAATGATATGCAAATTTCAAAAGCAACTTGATGAATAGATTTGTTATTATTAATGCTATTGACAGCTTCTTAAAAAAGTGATATTGTTGTCCGTTAGTCCTCTGGACGTAAGTTCGCGGCATTGCGAAAATTATGAGTGATATTTTAAGCGGGATAAATGAGAAATCAATATTTTTTTTATTCTTGGAATTACTATTAGGCGAGGGATATGGACAGAAATCCGACAATATATTTATGAGATAGCATGTAAAATACATTTTAGATCATGGTGGTATTTCAATAAAAAAATTCTTCTTCAAGACACGAATTGTTGAGCAATCACCTCATTAAACGTTTTTGCCGATAGTTGTTTCATCGGCAAAAATAATGTGTACAATCTCATTATTGAAAGTGTTAATAGAACAGTATAATTCGTACCAAACTATATCATACACCATGAATTAAAATGTCACACCGTTTTTCAAAAAAGCTCTAATTGTTAAAGCACTACCGTAGGAGTCGTGATCAATTTCTTAAAATGCTTAAGCGTCTTAAAGCTTCTCTTGAGAACGAGATTAGTTAGTTCATTCATTTATATTAATCAAATTGAGAGAAAAATGAAGCACACTCAAACAAACACAAAATGACGATCATTAGTCTTCTTTTTTTATTCAGTTCAACTCAGTTTCTCTTTTGATAATGACTCAAATTATTCTCTTCATAAGGAAAGTCATAATAGGTTTCTTTTATTTCTATGAAACAATCAAAATGGTATATTACAAAAAAAAACCATTAACAAAATTAAAAATAAAACATAAAGAAATATCTTATTTGACTTGAACAATAGTCTAACGAATATTTAATCTCAAAATTTTTCTATCAGTACAACTCATAATCATTTTCCTTACTGTACTATGAATTCAATAAGCAATTTTTTGTATGGATGACACAACACTGTACCACAAATACGCATCCAACAAAAATGAAATAAACACCAAATGAAAACTTTGACATATAGCAATAGTAGTCGAATATATTGTATTATATCTAATAATGTAACTAATGATAATCATTTTTGTATCGAATAAGAGGATAACTATGAGTTTCAAATAGATTAAAAATCATATTAAAGTACAACGACTTTTCTCTCTAAACGGATTATCTTTTTGTGATTCAAATCCTACCACAAGTGCATCGCCAGATTGATGATCTGTGATAAATCGAACTAAATCTTTACACACGGTTGATACATTTTGTCTTTTAATTGCTGCTTCTTTACGCAATTGCTCGACTAAACGACGTTGTATTATAAATGCTGTTGGAGCTTGATCTAAACGGAAAATAGTAGTAAACTCAGATGAAATTGGTGAAAAAAACCTTTATAATTTGTTATTCAGTGTGATATAGTACTTAAAGAAAACTTCTTCAAATACGTCTCAAAAATATTTATGAAAGTCTTATTGAAATGTACAATTAATAGAAACGAGTTAATCTTTGCTTATACTTACATTCTGATGCATAACTTCGAGGTGCGGCAAAATTATCACTAATACGCCTAATTATTGAATCATTATTTACTTGTAGTGAAGCCATAGAAATGTATAATTACAGTAGCCTATATTTATGTATAATATATATATATATATATAGGGCGAGAGAGAGAAATTTCAACACAAGAGAGAAAAAAAGAAAATTTGATAGTAAAATACGGAAATAAGAAAGTCAATTTGGTGTGTTATTAAATGAACAAGGATTAATCGATTAAAAAAACAACAGCAGGAATAGATGAACTTGTTAGAGCAATCGATGATGTCTGTGATTCAAAATAAGATCTCACATTCTTAACAGACATAAAAATAGAAATAAGAGAATATGAAAAGTATCTTTATGTGTATGTGAGTTCAGATTCCTCGAACATATTTCTAATATGACTATAATGGTATTCTTATCATTTTTTTCTTTCAGTTCCTTTCGTGTTCTTTACCGACATAACGTATATTTTATAAACATTATATAATTGAAATCAATTATATGTTTAGTGAAGAGAATGAGACAATTTCGACTCGCAAGTACTGCCTGTGGTGCATTATAAACGAAGGCATAGTAAAAGAAAAAAGAAGAACAAAGTTTTTAATGATAAAGGAACCGAGGTAAGACTAGAAAGAAATTATCAAATCTTGAGGATAAAACACATCTGCATGCATATCGCTTTCTTTTTTCCAACGATAATGAATGATGCCTGTTGTAATCACACACATACAAATGGATCATTAGATTTCTGTCTGTTTTTTTATAATGATTTATAAGAGTTTCCAGTTTCACACAGTTCTACCTTTTTTCCTCTTCTCATATTTCGTAACATGAGATAGAAAAAGAAAAAGAAAAACACATTTACATTTTAAACTAGAAAATTTTACATTTCTGGTAGATACAATGGAAAGAGAGAACCCTTCTTCAATTCCTCACAGACGAATAAACGGGAACAAAAAAAAACAGTCACTTAACACCAAGGAAAAGAAAAATTTTCCACCTCGTTGAGGTTGTGTTTAGGTTTCTTGACATTGAAAGACGAGTTCATTAACAGCAATCTATTTGTTCTGCACACAAGATCGAATAAACGGAGAGATTTATAAAATGGATCTTATAACAGTGAATTATACACACATTTTTCCAAAGTTTGCCATATGTGCACAATTCAATTTATTGAAACTATAACAAAATTTCATTTCGATATATTAACTTCTGAAGTATAAATTGAAATATTCACTTGAAACTTCTTCAATATTTATTATTGTTGAAATTGGCTACAAAACTGTTACAACTTTCTTCTAATCACATTACATTTGGGCATTAAATATTAGAATATTGGAAATTCTTAGCGAAAATGTCGACAAATTCAAAAAATTAGACAATCTATGTTGTCAATTGGGGTTTTCTTTTTTCCAGTATAATCGAATACATTTTTAGTTACTATATCCGACAGAAAACCACTTTTTTAATTAGTTTACTAAAAAATAGTTCTCGAATTAGAAATGGGAGAAATGCACACTTTTTTCTAAATTAAACAACTCTCTTTTAACTCTTTTAAAAAACAACAATTCTTTATACAAAGATACATTGAAACTAAAGAAATCTAATGCGTTAAATAATTTTGACAACTATACCTAGTAAAATGACTCTAGCAATAGTAAAAAGAGAGCTGTTTTTGAAAGTAGTTTATTTAACTAGAAATGCAAAACGAAAGACAACTCTATATAATTATCAGCGTTGCACAAATACAGTATATTCGATACAGCATATTTAATTTTACTGACTATCTCATTGATTTCAAAAATAGTTTTCAAGAAAAAACTTTTTTTAAGAAATGTATACAGAGATCCCCGACAGATAATGAATGTCAAATGTGTATAATAGAATTCGATAGATTTCGTGTAGATTACGAATCTGACACTTGTTGTGAAGGAAAATGTTTGAAAAGTCTATAGTATGCAACATAAGATGGCATACTTGTGTATATATACCGCTATAAATACCCACATAACTTTCATGTTTCTACTTTTGCAATGTTCGCGTGTTTCCTGCGTGTGATGTGAATATGATAATTACTATAAAATGAGACCACTCCCAGCTCTTCATGACCTACCTTGAAAAAATTATGAAGTTTTTAATTTAATCCTTCGAAGGCTAACCTTATAAAATCTCAATTTTATAAGGTTCGTAAACGTTTCTCTCCTTTCCTATATAGTCAAAACTTCTTCTTATAAATGGCATGATAGAACGAAGTGTGCTCTTCAAAATGAAACGTCTTCCAGAATTTTTCGATGAGTTTGCGTGGAGATATAAGCATCACCGCAAATGCCCTGAAAAATAGAGCCCTGTGTACAATAAGTGTTTTTCTCACTATGCGTTTTTTCTATAGTCCCTTCAATCGGGTCACATTACTATCCCTCGAAAAACATAATCCGATCGAGCTCAAACTTTTACCACAGATACTTTAGACCCTATCTCAGCATGTAAATTTTCTTTGAGCGTTTTCGATTTCAGCTTTCGGTATGAGAAGGTTTTTAAAATCAAAAATCGGTTTTCTACACAGGATTTTTAGGATTTTTTGAATATCTCGAGACGGAAAGCATATTTTTCGAAAAGAAAAATTCTTATCCTGCAGTCTAAAGTATCTGCGGTAAAACTCGATCGGATCATTTTTTCGAGGGATCGTAATGTGACTAGACGAAAATTGGAGTTTTACAGATAACCCATAGAAGAACAGCTCAAAAAATTCGGGAAAAAATACATCGATTTTCTTTTTCGATGTTCTATCTCTGCTATAAATTTTACTTAATCGGACGTGTACTCCGCATTTAGTAATAAGGTGTAAAAAGATCAAGAATATCCTTACGTAGCTAGCGATGCTTTGGAACGAACTGTTTTTCCAAATGTCGTATATTACGTAAACGTTCGCTAAGCCGCTGAGTTCGTATTAAGAATTATATTATTTATATTTTTAAACAGAATTTACTTTGCTTTATAGCACGATTGGATATCTGGCATCATTCGTAGAAGATATTTAATTTAAGGGAATGGAAGCAGTCAAAATCCTATATAAGAGTGAAGCGTGTTGGTCGTTCATAAAAGGTTATTTCTACACCTCTCCGAAATTTTCGTGACCACAAGTTCGGCAAGATTTCGTTGAGCTAGTCCGGTTATTTTCAAGAAAGGATATGCGCTTTGGCAAATGCTGATTACAAAAAAACAGCTTTATCAACAAACACTGAAAATTAAATTTTCAAGCATGCCTGTCCTAACGACGAAAGAATGAGTTCAATAGCTGGTTTTGTTTTTCACTTATTTGATCTCAAGCGAGCTCATGTTGCAAATCCATCATGGAAGTCGCGTTAAAATCTTTCAAATTCTATACATTATCACAAAATTAAAATAGAAAAAGGCATAATATCACTTTGTTCTGATAGAATTTTAAGCTCCATATTGAGTCAACTGTACTGTACAGTGCTGCTCAACCTCTGTTGAACTATAAATCTTTTAAGATTTTACAATTAACGTATACTCTGAAAAAAAACGACTTCTACAGAAAATTGAAACTGTGCTTCTTCATTTGTCCGCAATCGGGATCTCTATTTGGGACATTCGTTTTCTAGAAAACATCAGGTAGAAAAATACATTTCTGTTCTTCGTTTTTTCAGGAAAACTGAATCCTAATCCTTCTTTTAACCAATACGATACCTGTGATCATATGACCGAATTATTTTTTTATATAGTATAAATATTGGCGACTAGAGACTTGCAGGGTGAAAAAAACTATATAACTCACATCCTAATCTCGTCATTTGGAATCGGATTCGACCCGGATCGGATCAGGTTCCAAACGTCATATACACTCGATTCATGTACATATGATACATATTTCAAACCTTCCCTCACACGTCAGTTTTGTGCACGTTTCACGTTCACAACAAAAAACCATATTTACTCTAATCTTGCAAATGTATCATACCTGATACGACCTTCATGGTAAAAAATTAAATGAATCATATATGATGCAAGAACAGTGAACGTGTTAAGTTTCCATAAGAAAAGCTTACACGCTCTGTAATATTGGGAATCGCAAAACAAAAGCAGTGATCGACATACGTGATGTTTTTTTTCTTTCTAAACTTCGAGTTCTTCAAAGAACACAATAGAAATATTGTGTTTTCGAAATCTTGAAAAAGGTGACACGACAGATGAGCCTCTAACATTTGAACCCGACAAATGAGCCTTGACAGCTGAGCCTCCCGATATCTGAGCTCTTGACATTTGAGCCCCTGATACTTGAGCCTCTCAACACGTAGGCCTTCAACATTTGAGCCTAACGAAAAGAACAACATCAAAAATCCAATAAAGCTCTTGCTCTTATTTTGTTTTCTTATGTTTAGTTCAAAAGTAGAATATAACTGTTGTAGGTTGTTCGTTCATTTGTTCATATGCAGCACGTTTTGTCAGTTTTACAAGTCCAGCTTCTAATTTCTCTGGGTTTATAGGTCTGCATATATATATTTTGAACTATTTGGAAAGCAAAATGAAATTTTGCTTTGAAAATTGATGTATTATATGAAGGAGCTTCCAATCATTAACTACTTCTTCTTCAATCACCATACTTCTGTTCAGATAAGGGATTCTTTCGTCTCAACACATGGAATATGTTCAATTTTGTTCTCACTTCTAAATAATGTTTCTAAACATTTTGACGGATAGTTGGATCGTCATCAAAAACCACTAACTTCATTTGTTAAACCAGATTATAGCTTATGTCTGTGTACTTTAATAGTATCGAACTACATCATAAAATGTTATTATGTCCTTTGAATAAGGCTCATCCGTTGTAAGCTCACCTATGGGAGGCTCAATTGTCAACGACTCACCTGTCATGAAGCTCAAGTATCGGGGATTCAAATGTCAACCGCTCATATATTGGGAGGCTCATCTCTCCAGGCTCATTTGTCGGTGTATCCTTGAAAAACAAAATTTATGAAGAACTAAAATCTTCAACTCGTTCTCTGAAAACATGAAGAACACGTTTTTTTAGAATGTAAAAAATA